CCAGGTCATTGATAAAGATGTTATACAGAACCGGACCCAGCACTGAGCCCTGGGGAACCCCACTGGTGACCGGCCTCCAGCCGGATTTAGCCCCATTTACCACCACTCTTTGGGCCCGGCCATCCAGCCAGTTTTTAACTCAAAGGAGGGTGTGCCTATCCAGGCCAGTAGTTACCAGTTTCTCAACCAGAACACTATGAGAAACCGTATCAAAGGCTTTACTGAGGTCAAGGAAAACTACATCCACAGCCCTTCCCTCGTCAACCAGGCGGGTCACCCTGTCATAGAAGGTGATCAGGTTTGATTGGCAAGACCTGCCTTTCATAAACCCATGTTGACTGGGCCTGATCACCCAGTTAACCTGTATGTGCTCATTAATAGCACTCAAGATAACCTGTTCCATGACTTTGCCCGTCACCGAGGTCAGACTGACAGGCCTGTAGTTCCCCGGATCCTCCTTCCGCCCTTTTTTGTAAATGGGGGTAACATCCGCCAGCCTCCAGTCCAGCGGAACTTCCCCAGTGAGCCAAGACTGCCCAAAGATAATGGACAGGGGTTTGGCAATGACATCCGCCAGCTCTCTCAGGACTCTCGGGTGGATACCATCAGGCCCCATAGACTTGTGGGCATCCAGCCGAAGGAGCAGATCCTTGACCCGTTCCTCTTGGATCACTCATCAGAGGCAGATAGGTGGTGTTTTGCCTCGTTTTAAATGAAGAAAAAAAAGACCCTCAGTGTGCAGAAAACTTCATCCCAGCTACAAATCTGACTTCTTGTTGAGAAACTATTCCAAAGTAAATTTTTTTACCACATGTAGTTACAGCCCTCACTCATCAAAAATCTAAACCATGGAGATGCAGGGGTGCCTTTTGCTTCCTTTCTCCCTTCTATGTCTTTTGAGTATAAAAAAGTCAGAATACACTGGGTTTATTTTTCTTTTTGTGAGATACTGGAGGAGAAGCAAGTAACGAGGTACAATTTTGCCTCTGACCCTTCACTGAACAGAGTAGACACTTGCAGAGAGGAGGAAAGTGGCAGATTGTGCCTCCCCCTGCAAGTGGAAAACAAGGAGACAACTGTAATTCGGCCAGGCGTATGTAAGTCGCCATGTCCCTGAGGTGTCAACTTAGATGGCATAACTACTTGAATGCCCTTTGATCAAAACTAGCTGGAAAGTCATAGGCTATATCACTGCTGTCACTGAAGGCCACACTGATCCCCGTATTTATACTGGAAGTCATTTTACCCAACCTGCAATATTCGAAGATATGTAGCAGTCCAAGAGCTGTCTTGAGACATCTCACAGAGTAAAGGCTGTAGCCCTATTTAACTGCCTCTGTAGGCATTGAAATCCAAAATCTACATCCACAAAATTTTTTCTCTGTTATTGCTTCACCCTGGAGAGGCCTTCAGCTAATAGTCGCAGGAATATTCACTCTAAATACTCATTCCTCAGACTTCATCAATACCAGTACAAGCTATTAAGAATGCAAAGGCATCAGCCTGAACACAAGGACTCATTTCCCTCTTCTGTTAAAACATTAGAATGGTCCTCATAAGTTTTTGACCCAGAACAAATATCACTCTTCCAAATCAACCTTAGGCATAGTTCGACAGTTAGAAACAGCCAGGGACTAGTCCCTGCCAGCAGTTTGGATGTGCTAATTCTGTTTTACGAAGCAGAGAGTGTAAATTAGGAGATTTGGTCAGGTTATACCTGTAGATGTCACAACTATAGAACAGACTCAAACACTCTGTAGTTGACCAGCAGAGATACAGTAAAACCAAATTTCATTCATGGTTGGCCTGAGACCTGGCAGGGCTGGTTTTGCATCCTGTCAGCAATCACCATCTAGGTATTTCCCTAGGTAGTTTTTCTTCAGAATTTAGTATTTATTTCTTCAGAATTCTCAGAAGACATTTCCTGACATACAACACGGTCAAAGTTGTTATGGTATCTCTCAGTGCACAAAAATGACCATTCAAAGGGTGGTATTCCAAGTCTGGTTCCTTCATCTGCGTGAAGGAACTTGAACCTGCACTTCATAACATCTAGTTAGGCACGCTTAATACTCATTGATTAGTTATTCTAAGCTGAGGGCCCCTCAGTCTCATTTGGGGCTAATTAAATATTTGTTGGACAAAAGCAAAGGTGTAACTGTAGTGATGACTCCACTGTCTAACGATCAGGTCATTCATTCGGGATGGGAAAGATCTGGGTTCCAGTCACTGCTCTATTCAGTGTTTAAGCATTTTAACATTAGTTACTCGCTGCCAGCTGGCTGCTGCATTGGTCTAAAAGACACAGGTTAAAATTCCCTCAAGCAGAGGAAGAAATTGAACCTACGTCTGCTGCATAAGTGGATATGTCCCAAATGCTTCAAACACTGAGATGCTGCAGAAAAGCAGGTGTGAGGCGCACCAGGAACCATTTTGTGAGAACAAAATGATGTTTACATTTGGTATAGGGGCATAGATAGCCAACAATAGCTGGGATTTTGGCTTCAGCATCTCCTATTGCCTTATCCTTCTTCCTTGTGAATATTGGGCTTTGTAGATCACATTTCCTAGTACCCAGATCTCTACATAAATTCTAGAGGGATAGCTGGAGCTGTGTCCACATAGAGGTCTACATTTGACTAGCTGTCTGGCTTCCTTTTATAGTCAGGTGAGAGAGGTGGTTAAAGTCCCCTCATTCTAGACATCTGCTTAATATTGTTCTAGATGTGCATTCGTCCCTCTCGATTGCCTTTGGAGCCTGGGGTGGTTAAATCAGATACAAGTGACTGCACTGTCAATACATATATTCAGTCATTGCAATCCCAGGCTCTGTGCCCAAATCAGGACCATGGGTTCCACTAGGTGGAAAGCTATCTGAATTTGTTATACCCCTATGACAGGCATTAAAATATCTAACTTTGTCAAATGACCCACATGAAAGACTTGCACCGTACGAGCAGGACATGAAGAATAGAGTTCTGAAAGATTTTCCATTGATGTCATTAGTGCAGGCATCACCCCACGCATTTGTCAATAAGGTGTGTATAATTTCTGGATTTATATTAACATGGGGAAAAAAGTGCAGAATAAAGACAAGTTTCTCTCTCCTACTGTTCTCTTGTAATAGAGCAAAATCCAAGAATGGGGGACGTTGCTTGCGAGAAAAATTAGACAGACTGGGACTGAATTTGCCTGCAGGAAGAAGAAAAGCAGCAAATGTCACGCTCTTGACTTCCTTGGTAGAAGGTAGGGTTTATAATATTGCAATATAATATGAACGCAATTAAAATGTTTCCTTGCATACAATACTTTTCAGCCACAGTGTTAAATACCATAATCTGTATTTTGTTCAAAGACGAGAACTGACCTGCCTAAAGCCACAGACAGAAGGAGTAGAAAACTGGAAGTTCACTCTGAGATGTCTTGGCTCCCAGCAAGTGTTTTGGTCCTGCAGTTTCCTCAGCATTGATCTGTGCTTTCTGTGCTGGGATCTGACTTACAAATCGATGATCCAAGTGTTCTTGTGAGAGAGATGAATGTCTTATACCAACTCTATAAGTAGGCTTGTTTATCCTCCTTTTTTTTTTTTAACTTGTGAATTTCCTGGAGCTGATCCAAAAATGTGATTATTTTTTTTCCCCATAAGAAGACATAATATTTAGACAAGCCTTTTCTCACTACACATAAATGAATGAAATCTGTTTTCAGATAAACTCTAGACAGGCCCAAGAGATACTTTCTTGGCCTTTATTTGTTGTTTAAATATCATTCACCAAGTACTGCCAGGCTCTTCAAGCCTTCAGCTGGGAGATGCAGGTTCAAACCCCTCAGGCAAAGGGAAGAAACTCTACCTGAATCTCTTCTATTCTGGGTGAATCCACTAAGTACTCGGTTTGCTGTCTGGCTGCGAGTAGCAGCTCTGGGAATTTCAGATCCCTCCTCCTTGATGTTGAGAGCGCTCTGCTCATCCTAAAGGTCAGCACCTTCTAGGATCATAACCTGCAAGGTCCATATAGATCTAGGCAAGTAGACTGAGGTCTCAGCACATGTTACCATCAGAATCATAGAATTACAGAAAGGTTGAGGCTGGAAGGGACTCCTGGTGATCTCAGTCCAATCCACCTGCTCAAAGCAGGGTCAATTAGAAAAGGTTGCTCAGGAACTTGTCTACGGAGGTTTTTATTATCTCAAAGGATGGAGACTCCATAAGACAGAAATAGTGCTAAATCCTCAACAATGGAGGTTTTTCAGTATCTAAGAGGAGGGACTGAGGTTCTCAGGGGCCACTCAGCACACAGAACTACAATGAGGCTGCTCTGAAATACAACTGTTTCTGTATCACACCTACTTGTAGTAAAGAGAAAGTTGTAATGTAGATACAGTCTTCGAAAAGGTACCAGTTTAGAGGAGTAAGGGCTGTTCCTACACTCACAGACCTTCATGGATCTTGGGTCTTAGCAGGGATGAACAAACAGAGATATATGGCCAGCTACTCATTCATTACAAAAGACTGAGATTGAGGAAGCCCCCTTTCAACTGCTGGCCTGGGACTGGTGGCAAAGCACCTTTACTGTAAGTCAGAATTAGATCATTTTTTCCAGGTATGGAGCTGTGCTTGCATCCCTGCCCTTTACTCAAAGCCAATAGCAAACCTAGTATCAAGCTTATGGTATTGCTTTTGTTCTTGGACTGCCCTCCTGTGAGTCCTAAAGATATATACTGAGGAGCCTGAGCTAACTTAACAGAGACCTGTTTGCCTAGACATGCTAATCATGAATTTTGCCTACTGGAATTTTTGGGGAAGGCACCACCATGCACATTGATATTCCAACAGAAAACAAGAAGCAGCTCATTTTCTGTCTGTGTAACCAATTCTTGGTCTAACTTGGCAGTGCTCATTGAATCCTTTGTGGTATAAGCTGTCCTCCCTTTGTACATGCAGATATTACTTCCCAGTGGTACTAACTCATAGCATGATTTCTGCAAGAAAACCCATCCTTCCATGGCTCTTGCTGCTGGAGGAGGCAAAAATGGAAAAACACAGGCTTATTCTGGGTTTTGGAGGACATGAAGAATATAACATTGGATTTTTCTGTGTGATGTCAATAAATAAATTGACATCACGATTTTTTAGTCTTATTAAATCCCTAAATATCAAGTGTACTGTGTGGACTTCTTATAAGAACTAAGGATAGTGTCACTCTTTATTACTTTAGATGGTTTTAAGTTTATTATTACTAAAGGTCCTCACAGTCTTTAATGTATTGAGGCTTTTAACATCTCTGTAAGGTAGGGATATGGTCAACCTCTTTAATATTTTTTGAGGTATGAAAAGGCAAAATTAGTTGTATGGTGATTAGGTGTATTAACCAAAACCATTTCGAATGTCTCTGGCGTGACTAAGACTTCTCTTCCTCTAAATAGACTATTGAATTTTGAGGAGTACTGCTAAGCTCAACAGAGGAACTGCAATTAATTTCTAGGCTGTGGTGGCCATGTGACAATCCAGACTCTATGAAAAATCTACGAACTTACTCCTGTGTTGAAAACTTCCTTCTTTTGGGGTTCAACATGTCTGCTGGGTGTTTACTGTTATTTTTGGTCGGGTTACATCTTTAGTATCTTTGGTAGAGACTTCTGGGGCTCAAAGTAGGAACCGTTTGACAGATCAGTTCTTTTCTTTACGTTGTTATCCACATAAATCAACACAATAGATGGAAAGACAGAGGGGGAGAATGAACTCAGCATTGCAGGACCCTCCACGGCAGTATGGGACTGCTTCGTGCAACCTGTAGGTGAGGGATGCCCTCTAGTGCCTAGATTAGATGACGGGAAAGGTCATTTATCGCACCAGCTCGAAGAGGAAAATTCCTACATGTTAGCTAATACAGTAAAGGCTCCTCCATTAAATAGCAGCATTGCCAAGGCTAAATCTACTGTTTCAAAGGAGTCAAAAGCTTCCCCAGTAGGAGCAAAAAAGGATATGAGAAGAGAGCAGATATCCCCATCTGTTTGGACAGGTCACTTAAAAGCTGAGACATAGTGTAAATATCGTTGCAGATGCACGTAAAAGCAATGCATGAATTAATTTAAACTCATCAGATTATTTACAAAAATCAGAAAAAGCATTTACAAAAAATCTATAATTTGTTTTCCTGTCAAACTTAACTAAGACATGAACTTTGCTAGACATAGGATTGACTGCATTCATCATTCGAAGACCAAAATTCTTGAGAAAAATAGGTCAGTGGTTACTTTTTTTCACCCTTCTATCAACTGTCACGCCTCTCCCCCACCAGCCTTTGTTTAAATATGTTTCCACTTGTTCCTCCTCCCTTCACACCCTACAAATAGAAAAAAACCTTTCCTCCCACCTCCTGCCTGTCCCTCCTCCCCCTGAGTAGCATTTCTGCTGGGTAGAGCATCTGGAGGAGGCGAAGCTGAGAGAGTGTAGGAGGTTCAGATGCCGCGTGTCCCTCTCCTGGGACACAGTTTCTGCCTTCACTCTGTATAGGAGCATCGCTCACTCTTGCTAGACCCAGGGGACACCCACGCTTCTCCTTGCACCTGCCCACAGAAACCTGTCAAGGTACGAGGGCTGGTCTCTCCACTGAGGCTTTCCAGAGCTGTCTCTGCCAATTCAGCTTCAGCGACTGTCCTTTTCCATCATGCAAAGCTCTCTGGTCAATTGTCAAATTATATAGGAAAGGCAGTGCTGCTTATAGCTGCAAAGCCGTGTGCTGGGTTGAAGGAGAAAGAGTCAACGGTCCCCAGCACCCATTCTTTGTCTCTGCAGGAGGAAAGAGCTGGGGATATTGGACATAGGGAAATTTGGTCTGAGATTGAAACAAGGCAACTGGATATAAAAGGCAGAGATTTTAGGGGGTTCTACCTTTAGTATGACTCCTCCCTGACATAAATAATAACTAGGCAGAAGAAGGCAAATCTAAGGTGAAAGAAAAGAGGTCGGTTCATCCACATTTCCAACATGTCCATTTTCCCCTAGAATAAATATTGGTCCAAATCATGATGCAGAAAAAGAAAGAACATCTTTAATGACATTTTTTGCAAACTACTTTTCCACACCAAGCAGACTGACTTCCTACTGTGTAGTAATACTAGGGACCTTTATTCACTGAGATTAACAAAAAATAATACACATAGAAGTTTACATGATTCAGTTCTCAATACCTCATCATTTGGTCCCAGTTCAAAATGAGATCTTTGCTCAACAGTGAGATACAAGAAATCATGTTCTGCAGAGCATTTTCATGTCCAGTTTTCTATTTTTAATTATAATTTGATTTTGTAATTTAGAATTCCTATTCCTTATATCGTATAGAATTGTGTGTTTATATGAATACATACACCTACTTATAATGGGCATTCCTAATATATATCAGCTTTTCAGTAAAAACATACTTTAAAAATCTGTAGATTCCTTTTTTCACAATAGGTACATTCATTCCTATCTATATACATCCACAAGCAGATAAATCCTTTTGTTTCACTTTGCTTACGATTTTCTCACTTTATATATCATTAGCATTCAATCACAATCCCATCTCCATGTAAAATGGACAAGTTTTATACCTTTGTATAATTTTCTCAGATCATCAAAACCATTTAGTATAATCTTAGTTCTAATAAATCATATACACCATCTTTGGAAAGAAAAGTTTTAATAATAATTCATATTTTCATTCCCTTTCTTTTTGATGTTAAGTGAAAACATACAAATTTCAGTCAGTTTGTTGCTGACCATGTTAAATAAATGCCTCCATTTCATCACATAAAGTTTTATTCTTGAAGAAACCAAGACTTTTCCAATGGCTAAATGCTTAAATGCTTTGCTGACTGCATTCCTTGCTTTGTTACTTGGATCTGACTGGAACCAGGATAGAGCTGTCTGGAGAATAGCAATTCCACCTGATGACAGCTTCAACGGGTTTGACTTTTATCTTCTTTCCATGCTGGCATGAAAACAAACCTATCAAATGTTTTACTGGAGTTTAGTTGAAGAGCAAAACCTGGTACTCTTCTGCAGTTGACTTAGTGTTTATTTAGCTGAAATAGAAATTTTGAAGCAACTCTACCGAAATTTAGATATTATGGTTTAAATTTGTACCCTTTCTCATCCATGATGATGAGGATAGACATTTTAAACACCAAACTGGCAGTCAGCTATATGCTTGTTCATTCTGACTCACTGTTAACATAACACTAAAATAGATTTTAATTTCACTGAAAGTTATTTTACTCTTCCAGAAGTTGTAAATGAGGAGAAAATCATTTCTCCTTTCAACTCAGAGATAGTGGTTGCTTGCTAAATTCTTATTCTTTTTAGGCAGACTGGAAATCACTTTTAAATAATCCAAATAATGCAGATTATTTTGAGTATAATCTTCCATTTTTGCATGTAAAATTGGTTACAGCTGCAAAGGTTGTTGTTGCCTGATGTCAGCAAACAAATTCCCTGGGAGCGGTGAAAATATTTTACTGCTACCTGAATCCAGTTATGTCAGCTAAACACACAACAAAGCATTTGTTCGTGGAAAAGAAAGATATTTTTCTGGTAAAAACTCCAATGATAGAAAGGGAAAAAATAAACTCTGAAAAGGTGGAGAGTAGAGGAATAAAGGTCAGTGGAATAGAGGTCAGTGTCTGTGATCCCTTATGCCTCATGCTGCCCCTTGTACAGGACCACTCCTCCCATGGAAATTTTCACCTTTCTTGGCTTCACCAGGTCTGTGCAGAGCAGATTCAGTCTTGCTGGGGACAGGATTCATCTCATTGTCTGTATCACAGTTGTTTCTGTCCTCTCAGGTCTTATTGCAGTTAACAGGGAGAAATCAGCACTTCTGGGTGATTAACAAATTAAATAAAATTAAATTAATAATTAAACATTTGATTAGATTGCTCAGAAAAGCTGTGGAATCTCCACGGATGGAAATCTTCAAGACAAGGCTTGAAAAGGCCATGAATAACCTGATCTAAGGCCATGCTTTTAACAGAAGGTGATCTTCTGAGTTCCCTTCTAACTCGGACTTTTCTATAATTCCTCTGATGCACTTTTGCCTTCTACTTTAGTATGAGATGACACATGCTTCAAGGGCTAATTTGTCTCTATTGACTTGAAAGTATAAGATCAGGCATGAATATTGACATTTAATCAGATGAATTCCACTGTACATGTTCTCAAAGGGTCCTGAATCCCTCCTAACTGTTCACTTGGAGCATCAGCCTGGACTCCAAAAAGCCAGGCTCCAGTGCTACCTATCATGATGACAGCCAAATATATAACTCTGAAAAAAAGAAAAATTAAATAAAAAATCCACAACACCCTAATCCCAAAACTATTCTGGAGCACAGCTCTCAGTCACTCATGCAGCTGTGCTTCAGTATACACTTCTGGTAGCTGACCTATTTCTAGCTTCTATGATGAGATGAGAGCAAGTGTCATCTGGAAGTGCCTATTTCCCATCAGAGAAAGACTAACTTAGGCGCAGATGTTCACACTCCAGGCAGCTGTGTTTGATCAGATAAATCCCACACCAAGGTTGTCAGAGTCACAGCACATTGGCCAGAGTGTTCAGTAAACTCTAAAATAAATTCCTGAGTTCTCTAAGCCGGTGGAGAGGGCGAGGTTCTTCCAGAGGTATTTGACACCCAACATGGAATTGGGTTATGGCATCCAGCCTCTGTAGTGAGATAGAGAAGTGCTCAGTGCCTGCCTCTGTCACAGACTTCTCATAAAGCCTAGTAATGTACACCCTTTGCCTTGATTTCCCCACCTATAAAACAGTAACTGCGATCTTCATTGTTGTCTCTTTTTATTTTAACTGGTTAATTTTGATTGCAATCTTTTTGGAAACAGGATTGTTTCTTGTGCTCAACTTCGAGATCTGCTCATCTCTAGTGTGGGGCATTTGTTCGTGCCTGCTGGCTTCATCAGCAGTGTGCCCAAGCAGCCAAGAAAGCCAATGGAATCCTGGCATGTATCAGAAACAGTGTGGCCAGCAGGAGCAGGGAAGTGATTGTCCCCCTGTACTCAGCACTGGTGAGGCCACACCTTGAGTACTGGGTCCAGTTTTGGGCCCCTCACTTCAAGAAGGACATTGAGGTGCTGGAGCATATTCAGAGAAGGGCAACAAAACTAGTGAAGGGTTTAGAGAACTTGTCCTATGAGGAGCGGCTGAGGGAGCTGGGACTGTTTAGTCTGGAGAAGAGGAGGCTCAGAGGGGACCTTATCGCTTTCTACAATTACCTGAAAGGAAGTTGTAGGGAGATGGGGGTTGGTCTCTTTTCCCATGTTATGAATGACAGGACGAGAGGGAATGGCCTCAAGTTACAACAGGGGAAATTTAGGCTAGATATCCGGAAGAATTTCTTTACAGAGAGGGTTGTGAAGTATTGGAACAGGCTGCCCAGGGAGGTGGTGGAGTCCCCATCCCTGAAGGTGTTTAAAAACCGTGTAGATTTGGTGTTGAGCAATATGGTTTAGGGACCCTGACAGTGCAAGGTGAATGGTTGGACTCAATGATCTTGAAGGTCTCTTCCAACCAGATGATTCTATGATTCTATGATTCTATGAATCCCTAAGCAAATACACTAAAATAGATGTTATCCTCACAGCTCTCTCCTGGGGTAGGAGGCTATTTTTCCTTTAGAGATAGAGAAGTGAAGCACCAAATGCTGAATCTCAGCTCTTCAGAGTGATTTAGTCCTACCTTCTACTAATTTCCATGCCTTAAACGTCACTGATGAACTGGGCATACAAAATTTGATCAGCTACCGAGTATTTACTGGTAGCAGGGGAGGGAGCTAAACTCAAGTGTCTTGACTAGTATTTTCTCATGAGAGGAACGATGTCCTGCTCTCGGCTGAGACAGAGTTAGTTGTTCTTTTTAGCAGCTAGAAGGGCTCTGTGTTTTGGTTTTAGTCTGGGATTCGCTGAGTTTTGATAGCGCACTGGTGTTTATGTTTGGTACTGAGACATCAAGGACTTTTCAGCTTCTCATGTTTTGCCAGTGTGCAGGAACACAACAGGAGGGGGGGAGCACGGCTGGGACAAAGGGTCCACGACTCCCCTTATGATTTGAATTTAGGATTGAGGACCGACTTGGTCGATGAAGTATTCCATATCATGCAACATCATGTCCAGTATATATATAAGGGTTGACTGGAAAGAAGGACTTTTGCTCTTCTGAGTGTTCTCACTCTTGGTCTCTTGGAGTTCTACCTCTCTCTTTTTGGGCCTCTCACTCATCCAGGATTGCAGTATTGGGGCTTAAAAGTTTCAGGATCATTTGCTGGGATGGGACAGGCCTTGGTCATAGGGTGGTGAGCAATTATACTGTGCATCACTTGATTGTATATATTATTATCATTATACATCTATATCGTATTATTATTGTAAATAATAATAGTAATAAACTGTTCTTATCTCAACCCATGGGTCTCCCTCACTTTCCCCCTTTAACTCTCTTCCCATCCCCTGGGAGAGGGGCAGGGTGAGGGAGTGGCTGGGTGGGGTTT